GCTCTTCCGGACAGGATAGAAGCTATACCCGATGGGACTGCGGGTGGTCCTAAGAAAACTAGTGCTTGGTCTGCATCAGCATCTCGTGCTGAGATCAAATTTGATTCAGGTATGTAACTTGTTTTATTTTTTCTTGAAGATTGCACTTACATATGCAACCATGTTTGAATTAATCACTGTTCTTTATATGGTTGGGAATACCGTACCATTCTACTTTATGGGAGCCTCAGAATCTTACAATGGGTTTGTTGTAATTGATAGCCAATGAACAACCCGAGTTTAAACTTTACTTAGTCATCCCTGTTCTGGATGTTAGATGGGCATTTTGATGATGATTACTTCCAAGAATCAAAGGAATCTAGCCAATACAGGCAGGAGTATGAGATGCGAAAGATGAAGCAGGCAAGCCACATTCTCTAAATCCTCTTGTTTCATGTGCTCTGTTATCTGGGAAGAAGTCCACTTGTTGGTCCAAAAGACTAGATTTGACTCATCTTAACTACTCGGGTAACCACCAGGATCAAGGTCTGGATATGATTTCCGAAGGTTTGGATACTTTGAAGAACATGGCACATGATATGAATGAGGTAAGCTTCCTTTTAAATGAAGCTGTTAACATGCTAGCCTTAGTACTTGATCTGATCAATGCATCAACACTGTACATGCAGGAATTAGATAGGCAAGTTCCTCTGATGGATGAAATCGACACTAAGGTAAACAATGGTGCAATTGTCTTTTATTTTCCCTGAAATTCTTTCGGCATGTGATTTTTAATCTCTCACTCTCTCTCTCTCTCTCGCATGAGCATACTTACAGGTTGACAAAGCAACAGCAGACCTTAAGAACACCAATGTCAGGCTTAAAGACACTGTCAACCAGGTGACTGAGTTGAAACACTTTTTCATGTAGCAGCATCTTCTCAAGAGGCTTTTAATTCCATACACGCACGTCTAACATGAGTGTGGTTCTTTTCCAGCTAAGATCAAGCCGGAATTTCTGTATCGATATCGTATTGCTGTGCATTATTCTGGGAATCGCTGCGTATTTGTACAAGTAAGTTCGTGTGCCTATCCCTCGGGTCCACCTTGAAATATCCATAAGCATATTAATGCATTCTGGGTTGCATATTTATCCCGGATAAGATTGGTTTGAAAAAACTTCTATGACAAAAATTATGCCTTGCATTTTTTTTTTTCAGTGTACTGAAGAAGTGAGAAGAGCGAAAAAGGTCACTTGGGTATAACATATCTCCCCCGTAAAATGTGAAATTTCTTTCATCCCCGAACCGATTCATTGGTACCACTGTGCTGTGTGTGTATACATGTTTTTATTCCATGTGGCCGACAGGACCTTGTGTTTCTTGTTCCCGTGTGTGTTTGCTTGTTCATTCATGACAGTTTGCTTTGGTTATATAATTATACCAAAGTATGGAATGCGTGATCTCCTCCTTAGTATAGTATGACGTTTTCACTGGGCATGGATAGATTCATAGAACACAGAATATGCCTTGAAGGGGAAATGGTTTGACCATTTGCAGTAAAAGGGTTGCTATACTACTTTTATGTGAACCATAGAAGTTGTGAAACCATGTGTGGTTTGATTATAGAATACACACTCATATATATATATATATATGATGTATATACATGTTTTTATTCCATGCGACCGACAGGACCTTGTGTTTCTCGTTCTGGTGTGTGTTTGCTTGTTCATTCATGACAGTTTACTCTGGCTATATAATTATATCAAAGTATGGAATGCATTCATGAATGCATGATCTCCTCCTTTATTGCATAGTAATAGTATGACATAGATAGATTCATAGAACACAGAATATGGCTTAAAGGGGAAATGGTTTGACCATTTGCCGTAAAAGGGTTGCTATACTATACTTTTATGTGAACCATAGAAGTTATGAAAATTCAATTGGCTCTCAAGCTTTTGTCAAACCATGTGTGGTTTGATTATAGAATACACACTCATATATATACATATATATATGTATAGTTGTTACAAGTAATTGAATGGGATGATGGTAGAGACCAAAGGGGAAAAAACAAAAGGAAAGGAACGGAAGTTGGAGTTTTGAGATTTCGAAGCGCATAGTGACGCGGGGGGGGGGGGCAGATTTTGAATAAAAGCCTAAGCCCCGATGTGGAGAGAGAGACACGATGTCCTTTCTGCTTGGACTCAACCTCGTCAACTCAACCATCGTCTCCCTCCCCATTCTAATTATTAATTGTTAATTGTATCATTAATTGCAGTTAGAGAGATCAATTTACCTTAACCCACATACTATGGAAATCGATATTATAATCGTGTAAAAACAAATGGAAAAGAAATCCTCTAAAAACACATCCTGCTGCTTTCTAGAATTTAATGCGTTTTTTTTTTTCACATTCTATACACATGATATTGTCAAGCTTAATTTGATTGACCAATGGAGATTATATATTGGACCGGCATCCATATTCAATAAGAGTTGTTAAAAAAAAAAGTAATGATAATAAAATACAACCAAAGTCTTAATATGTACCATTCCTTTTATTAATAATATACATTAGTGATAATTCATTAACAGTACTCTATAAGTAACCAGCCATTTGTTTTGCACATTATTTTGTGCTCATGGGAGTTTGAGATGTACAAACATACATCGCGTGTATGTGTGTATATATATATATGTATATATATATATATGTGATTTTTATAATAATTAATTTAATATTGTTATGATTTACCCTAGATATTATGCTTAGAATATTCTATTATATTTTGCTATATATTATGATGTATTCTTCCCATTATCAATAATAGAAAAACATTTTCCCTATTATGGTATCAGAGCTTCGGTTTTTGCTCTAATTTTTTTTCTCCTTCTCATCAACAATGTCGGTCGAATCCGAAAGCGACGCTGAAGATGTCAACGATGTACTAAATCCAATAGTATCATCGTCTTGAGTATCGTTTTAAATTTATTTTGCTCTTTTTTTTCTTCTATTTTTTTTTCCCGATGACGGTGTTCATCACCGTCAACCCTAGCCGATGTGCTATTTTTTTTTAACGACGATGTTCGTTTATCGACGTCAACCCTAGCCGATGTGCTATTCTTTTTTTTTCTCTGACGACGTTCGTTTATCGACGTCAACCCTAGCCGTTGTAAGCTCTTTAAACATGGCTATTAGCCTCTTTCGATTGGAAAACTCCGATCGTCGATCCACGTATTTGCGTCACTTATTTTTATTTTCTTCTCTTGTCCCGCTGCTAGACTATCACGCATTATGCGTCGCGCTTTTGCGCCCATTTTTTTTTTCTTCTTTTCTCCGGCCTAGCCGCTCGCTATACACATCGCAATTTTTTTTGCGCTGCCGACCTCATTGTCGTGCAACCCAACTCGCGCATATGCACCGCACATCCGTGCCACATCAGCCTCTGAGAATACAACTCTCAAGCTCTTCGAATGTTATCAAGCAACAACAACTCAAGTCTGGACTACACCAGCACATGGAAGATGATTCGTTTAATACGATCACAATTTCAGTTTTTAGTTTTTATATAACAAGATTGAATTCATCATAAATGATTCATCTTGAGGGGGCATATAGGAAGATATTATTCTTATAATATTATCATTAATATTGTTATGATTTACCCTAGATATTATGCTTAGAATATTCTATTATATTTTGCTATATATTATGATGTATTCTTCCCATTATCAATAATAGAAAAACATTTTCCCTATTACAAACATACATCGCGTGTATGTGTGTATATATATATATATATATGTGATTTTTATAATAATTAATTTAATATCTAAACAGAACTTTGGATACCAGCATCAAGTGGACCAAAAGAAAGCTCCAAACGCATGGAGCCAAAAGAGAGGTTGGATTTTATTATTTTATTTCATTTTAAAATATAATCTAATCAATTTATGTGTATTGTTATTGTACCAGTAGCTCGGGTTACGGAACACTTGAGAAGATTGGAAAAAATAAAATAAAATAACATCTTTGAAAAAGGAATTGTCTGTCCCTGCGTATTTTTCAAAATTATTCTTAATAATTATAACAGTGCAAATTTTATATGCAGTGTATTTCTCTTGAAAATGTGGTCGAGTATACGGATACGTATAACCGTAGAAACGTCAGACTTAAGGTTTTGCGTATATATACCGTAAAAATACAAATCTGGGGATGTATTACGCAAAAGTACATATACATATATATATACACATATATATATATATGGGGAAAAACAAGCTCAGGTCACGTTGTCGGGCCATATCGAATTTCAGATGGTACATACACATGCAAAATGTATGTATATACATCATGTGTACATGCACCGGACGAGATCAGTTGTCTTTTCAAAGCATATGTTAGAGCAAATGCTTTGTGTATCTCATGATGCATGATGCATGATGTATGTTTACAGTTGTGGAGTTTATGAAATTATGTTACATATGAATATACGTACATATATGCGTTGCTTACATGACATGTGGAAAGCTCTATTCTTCGAAACAGTGGATTCAAGTACTATCAATCACATCACTATTACAATCATAAACGACATCATCATTCTCGTTATGATGGTCATGATGATGATGATGATGATTATGATGATGCATCATGAGAATCACAGGGACCCACAAAAGGATATAGACAGTGAGACAGGCGTCACGGACCGTCCTATCGCCTTCCTCGTTAACCCAAAGATACCCTCTCTCGATATATATATCACGTTACTAAAAAAAAATAATGCAACATGCAACATGCAACATGCAACATGCTATGTTTGGTCCAACTTGTAATTATGGCTTAATCATTTATTTCCTTATCAAATTTTCCTTAAAGGCAACTCGCTTTTCTAACGGACACGCCTTTTTTTTCACTTCTTCGAGATTCACAAAACCCTAGAAATTTTACAAATAAAAAATGAAATTCAAAGACGGTAGAAACACAAAAGGCACTACAAAAGACTTTTTTGAGTTCCTAAAACTTTTCGGGAGTCAAAGATGTTATTTATATATATATATATATATATATACCGAAACTTTTGCTTATAACCTAACCTATATGCTTGTTCTTGGAACAAACAACATTTTCGTTTTTGTAATATAAAATTTCTTGGGTGCATAAACTTTTACGTGGTGATAAACATCTTATATATATAGAGGAATCCCATACATATATACATATATATATATATATCATCGCTGTAATTAACTATACATGTAGATCCAAAATATTAGATAATCATGCTATTATAATATATATATATATATATATTATATAATGTGTCTGTTCGATATAACAACAAGCACTTAAACACAAACATTCCGTTACGAAATTCAGAAGTTTACAGGCAAAAACAGTAAAAGTAAACACACACGCGATAAAAAAAATTTACAGTATCATGTGAAATCGATTCCATGTCAGACATAATATATGTATATATGTGTGTGTGTGTGTGTGTGGAGTTAATTATTTGGAGATGTATATTCCGTTTGGTTAATATTAAAAAAAAATGGATAACTTGAAGGTATATTTCAATTGATTATCCGACATCTTTCTTACTCCAATTTTTACACCAACACATGTACACACGTGTGCCTGTGCAATTGAGAGAGAGAGAGAATAATATTTATAAAAAAATAATGACAAATAAATTATAGATAAAACCCACTTTCCCTTTTGAAAAAAACCACAGATTTGGTCCTAAACAAAAGAACAGATCTCCATAAGAACATCTCCGAGATCTCCCATCAGTTTTAGATTTTATTTTATTTTATTTTATTGCGTAAAATTCTCTTTAAATATAATCTTTGTGCCTTGAGAATTTCTTCATCTCGTTTGGTATTTTCTTGTCATTTGGCAGAATCAAAGAGTCAAGCACCTTCAAACATTCCCCCGAAACCTAAAAACCAAAACAACTTGAATATATCTTCTTCTTCTTCTTCTTCTTCTTCGTCCAAACCCTATAACTTATACTTTTGTTTGTATACTGTGTTTCTCTAATTAAATCTCCTGCGGATCTTCTTTGTTTTCTTGCAAGATTTTTTTTTATAAAAAAACCAAGCTCTTGTCTTTTCTTCTTCAGTGTCCTGAAACCGCGCGCAACAAAACAGCAGCTAAAAAATATGCAGATGATTCCAGGAGATCCGTTTTCTTTATCTTCTTCAATGGCAGGCTTTGCTCATCACCAGGAGCCACAGCTTCATCATCTTCAGCAGCAGAACCCTGACCTTAATCCTAACCCTAACCCTAATCTCAACCCTAACCCAAATGCAAAACCAAACCCTTCATCCAAGAAGAAGAGAAATCAACCAGGTACTCCAGGTATTCCATCATCTCTACACACACATAATATATATATATACACACACCTGCGCTTATATAAGTATACAGATATGTTTTTCTTCATCATTTAAATGTAAATATACATGTTTCTTCATATTTATATACGCATGGTTACACACGTACATATATATGTACACAAGACGACGGTGTGAGTTTCGTATATGCCCAGATCCAATCCGTATAAAAACATGAGTGATGGAATATCTTAACACATACATGTTTTATATTCCGCATGCATATCGTCTTGATGAACATGGCATGGCATGATCTAATGGTAAATACAAACACATACATGGAGAGTTTTGAACTAGAACTAATCAAGAAAAAGAACAGATCCGGATGCAGAAGTCATCGCTCTGTCGCCGAAAACCCTAATGGCGACAAACAGATTTGTGTGCGAGATATGCAACAAAGGGTTCCAGAGAGACCAGAACTTGCAGCTCCACCGACGCGGACACAACTTGCCGTGGAAGTTACGGCAGAGGACGAACAAAGAGGCGGTGAGGAAGAAAGTGTACATATGTCCGATCAAGACATGCGTCCATCACGACCCTTCCAGGGCTCTCGGAGATCTGACCGGAATCAAGAAGCATTACAGCAGAAAACACGGCGAGAAGAAGTGGAAATGCGAGAAATGCTCCAAGAAATACGCCGTACAATCGGACTGGAAGGCTCATACCAAGACCTGTGGCACTCGTGAATACAAATGTGACTGTGGCACTTTGTTCTCCAGGTATGGTTAATTCTCAAATCACACAAATGAAATGACCATATATATATATATATATACATATATATATATATATGTGTGTGTATTCTTGGTGTGGAAAACCCTAATCGAAGAAAAGAAAAATCATACGATATATAATATGATAATTGTCGTAGCAGGTATACAGTATATATATTCAATAAATATTGGGAACTCATCATACATAGATCAATATGAAATTAATAGAGTGAGTATAGGTGGGAAAAGTCAATGAGAGATGTCATCATATTGTATTATTATGTCTTGTATCTTGATTTATATAACTTGCCAAGCATTAATTGCATTCTAGAAGATTTTACAATCTGTATATGAAATTGAGGTCGCTATATTCATATATTTGTGCGTGCTTTGTCTTTATTCTTTACACGACACGAAACAATATATATATATATATATATATATAAATTATTCAATTTTTTTTTACACGAGTATAAAATTTTAAATATCTTGTAATTAATGACAGTGAGTACTCTTTTGTGTATTTCTGATTCGGGGTACACACACACACACACACACATATTATGTGTATAATTAAAAAAGTGTATATGTGTATGTATATTGATTCTGTTTATTTTTCATTGTCTCTCTGTCTTGTCTGTTTGCATAGTAGAAAATAAATGCTTTCGGCCGGGAATGTCTTGTTGCCAATTATAGTTCGAATTTAATGCTCCATGTTTTTTTTTATAATCATTGCATACGTCTCAATTCGAATAAATATTATCTCACTCATGCTAATATTCGTGCTAATTAAGGTCTAGGGTTTATATATATATATAGATATATATATAATATTTTTTATTATGATATGAATTTTTCGTTTTTTTTTTCCCACAGGAAAGATAGTTTCATTACACATAGAGCATTCTGCGATGCCTTGACTGAAGAAAGTGCGAGGATGTCTTCACTTGGAAACAACAATTCGGGTTCCACAAATCTGAATTTCGGAAATGATTCCAACAACAACAATAATAATATGAACAGTGTGCCCCATGGATTCATCAACAGATCTGTTCATCATCCCGACATTAGTTCTGCCATAAATCATCAGTTCGGTTTAGGTTTTGGACATGATCTTACCGGAATGCATGCCCATGGTATTTTTCTCTTAATTATCCATAATGTGTATATATATATATATATATATATATATATTCCCTGCTCATCTAATTATCGAATAATTCAAGGAGAAGACAAAAAACATTGTAAATGCGCAAAAAATCTGACATAACTTCAAACCGTCTTTGATCCTAATTGATTGATTCTAAATTCGTTCAGGTTTATCCGAGATGGTCCAAATGAGCTCGGCCGGTAACCACCATCTCTTCCCGCCGCCGCCGTCGTCGTCATCATCCATTCCTGAATTCGCCGGCCACCACCACCACTTCCAGATTCCGGCGACTTCCACAAACCCTAATCTCACGTTATCATCATCAAGCTCTGCTTCACTACCGGTACTGCAAAACCAACAAACCCTAAAAGACGCATCTCCGTCTCCGCTCTTCTCCTCGTCGGACAAACAACAACCGAACAAGCCCATCTCTCCCATGTCCGCAACCGCTCTCTTGCAGAAAGCCGCTCAGATGGGCTCCACCAGAAGCACCGCCACCGCAGCTCCGTCGTTCTTTGCCGGATCTATGACGTCATCATCCGCGGCTTCTCCTTCTTCTTCATCTCCTCCTCCTCCTCCTCGAAACCCTATCATGATCCACCACCAAATGTTCAACCCTAACCCTAGGAGCATCAATCATCAAGAGCATCACAATCTTGCCCCTCCTCCTCCGCCGCCGAATATGTCGACGGCGACGAGCTATGCAGCCGCCGCCGCACCGAATCCAAATCCTGGTTATTACCCGATTCAACAGATGGGTATGACCCGGGATTTCCTCGGAGTGAGCAGCGAACATCATCTTCATCATCAAATGGGTCGTCAGTTCTTGCCTCAAGAACTGACGAGGTTTGCTCCATTGGGTTGAAATTCGAGAATGGATATAATTGGTATAAAATTATCAAGATGTGTTTTGGATCGGAGTGAAGAAGAAGAGATCGACACTGGACAAGTATTTCTTGGATTTTAGGGACTGTCGGATTTGTGAAAAGACATGCGAATTGGTCGGACGGTGGGGACGAAGTGACAAGACCGGAATCGTTTTGCACTATGCGCTATTACACTGTCATGTGTTTGTGTATATGTTCATATTCCCAGACATGCATGTGGTTTTGTATATGTTCTTTTTCCCCCCTTCTATAATGAATTTCTAAGACTTTTTGGTCTGTCTGTTATTTGGATTTTGAATTTTTCCGTGAATGTGAAAACCTCAAAATATATTATCTGAATTCATAGATTCGATGCCAATGAATTGTAGTGCTCTTTGCTTATTATTATTATTATTATTATTATTATTATCATCATTATTATTATTATTAATATTATTATTATTATCATTATTATTATTATTATTTTGTTAAATTGCAAAGGCTAATTCCCCTTAATTTTGATCATTAACGGTATTGTTATCTCAAATTCAACCGGTAAATACAAAACCATAGAGCATATATCAAAAGAGATTAATATATTATTTTTAATATTTTCGTAAATATCAATAAAATAAAATACTATATATGAAGTTGAAAGAAAAAGTGGTGTTGGAGTTTATAGGTACTTGATCCAAGCGGACAAACCCTAGCTTTTCGAGATGAGAGTCAATGCTATAATGATCTTCGGATTCTGCAAACTATATATGTCAAAATTTTAAAACATAATTTAATTCCATAACATTTTCGTACGTAGGCTCATAGACTTATATATATATATATTTGTAGCTATTATTTGGCCACAAAGTAGTTAATATATAGTTTCCGTTATAAAAAACTCTAGTCCAGTTGATTAATATATCATCCTTTACTAAATCAAATACAAAAGATTGAGTATCGTATTGAAATTTAAACCTAATTAAATACGAAATAATCGAATAAAAATAAATTTCAATTTAAAAAGTCCTTATATTTTAAATATAAATTGAATAAAAAACAATTTAAAAAATACTTATATTTGTTTAATTAAAATTTAACCATGAAATATAATCCAAACCCAAAAGCGGATATTAAATAATTGGCAATCATGGCTTGAGTTCAGGAAATATTAACTTCAATTTTATCATTCAAATATTTTCCTTTTTTAAAAAAATGTTAAACTTATTATGTCGTATTACTGCTTAAAAATAAAATTTTATGTAAAAAATTCATACACATGCTTTTGTAACATAACAAATCGAGCTAAATTTCTTGAAAAATGCGAGAAATAATTAAAGATTTTAAAAAAGAAGACGAAATTACGTTTAAACATTTGGGCCAACAAGAATTTTATCAGGCCAATTTTCTCTATCATCTGGGCTTAAGAATTGGGCCTTTGACTCTGCATCTTCAATGTCTGACGTGTCAGGTATATCCACGTGTCATACTTTCAATGGTTAAAAGTTCAGGATTGTGGGTCCATCCAATGTAGAAACCACGTGGTGAGTATTGATTGGTTGGAACAACGTGTAGATACACTTCGCATGCAAAACCCAAAGCTGGAAATAAATAAAGGTGTACCCAACAAACTGGAATCAAACTCTCCTCCTCCCTTCGTCTCTCTGAGAATTCCAAGTTCGTGGGTTTACGACTTTAGGTACGTGTATACGCGCGCGCACACACATATATACCTGTATATATATGCATTGAGAATGGATCCGGTCGGAGGATGGTCGGGCATGGATTTCTTGGCCTGGAGAGGAATGGCGTACACACTTCTCCTGCTCAACTTCGTATTCGCTTGTCAGCTTCTTCTTCTTCAACCTCTCGTGTCTGCCTTAGGTAAAATTTTCCTGCAAAAGATTTATCTGTTCTGAAGTAATCGATTCATGCCCTTTTGTATTTAGCTAGTTTCGCCCTGGGGAGATCATCGAAAAATTAGGAAAATTCTTTTATATCCTGTATTAGGGTTGCGTGCTTGTTGCAATCATCGAATGAACTTGGGTATCGAGGATTTGCTCGGGGATGTCTGAATCATGTTTAGGACCTCAGTATTTCGGTTTTGGAACAGTTTCAATCTTCTGGGAGTGAAAGACACTGAGTTTTGATTGCTCAGCATTGTGAATTGATCAAATTAAGACACTGTGAACTCTGTTTTGCCTGTAGTAACTGACACTTGAAGGTGTTGGAACTTGGGAACTTGTTTGAAACCCACAAATTTCCAATTCTACGCAGACAGATAGTTTTATGTGGGCATTACGCCGTTTCTGACAACCAAATCTTGGGGAAATTACAGTGTGTTTGATAAACGCGATTGTGAAACAAGAATGTAACCCGACTTCTGTGGATGATGCTCATTTTCATTTAGCTTTTGTCTTTGTGAGCGATGTTTTATAGAGGCCTTGTTTCCATGCTGGGAGATAAGAGGCATCGGTTACTCCGATTTAAGCTCTAATTGATTGCTTTACCATTCTTGGTGATTTTGTATAGATGGCCAATCTGTAGATGCTTCTGAGCTATTTGAGAGGGCTTCTCAAAGTATAGCTATTAGGCATTACGCCGAGGCGCTAAATGATTTGAATGCAGCCATAGAGGCAGACCCGAAATTTTCGAAAGCTTACCTGAGGCGTGCTTCCATACTTCGTCACTTTTGCAGGTATTAGGGGCAAAGGTTCTCGGGTAGGGTTCATTTCATTATATAAGCTTTAATAGAAAGTTGGAAGTTAATACTGTGCATCCTCTCCTCTTCCCCTGTTGTCATAGATATGAAGAATCTGAAGATAGCTACCAAAAATATCTAGAACTAAAACCAGGAGATTCAGATGCTGAAAAGGAGCTCTCTCAGCTACATCAAGCTCAAAGCGGGTTGGATACTGCGTTGACTCTTTTTGAATCAAAGGATTTCGGGAAGGCTCTTGAATATGTTGATAAAGTTGTTCTTGTCTTCTCCCCTGGTTGCTCCAAGGTCCACTTCCTTCTTTCCCATTTGATATCTCTATTTGTTAGGTTCAAAGACCTTTAGTCTTGTTATTGATAAACCCATATGGAACATGCAAAATCTCAGTTTCTTATTATTGTGCATTTTGATAAAACTTGTTCATCTTTTACTTCAGGCAAAGCTTCTCAAAGTACAGCTGCTTCTGGCTTCTAAAGACTACTCGAGTGCAATTTCTGAGACTGGCTATCTTCTCAAAGAAGATGAAAATAATCTCGATGCTTTGCTCCTCCGTGGTCGTGCCTATTACTATTTAGCTGATCATGATATTGCTCAAAGGTTTGGCATCAGCTCAGCCCAGTATCTGATTTGACACATTCATTCGCGGGCATAATTTGTCTTGACTAATATTCTCGAGTAAACTTGATGTTCAGGCATTACCAGAAAGGACTACGCCTTGATCCTGAGCACAGTGCATTGAAGAAAGCATACTTTGGACTGAAAAATCTACTCAAGAAAACCAAAAGTGTGAGTCTTATGAAGTTTTTTGCGGCTCACAAATTCAAGTAACTTACTTTCCTGCCCATGAACACATATATGTATACCCTCTTGCAGGCTGAAGACAATGCTAGCAAGGGGAAGTTACGGGTTGCGGCAGAGGATTATAAAGCAGCTATAGCTATGGATCCCGATCACATTGCACATAACGTGCATCTCTTTCTCGGACTCTGTAAGGTCACAGTCAGGTTAGGCCGGGGAAAGGAGGCTTTAGATAGCTGCAACGAAGCTCTTAACATAGATCCAGAGCTGACTGAAGCTATGCATCAGGTCCGTATCTTTATTCGGATAGTCACTTTTGAGGATTTCTCGAGAACATAGTGTATATTGAAGCTTCCATCTTGGATTTTACTCAGCGCGGTGAAGCTAAACTCTTGCTCGAAGAGTGGGAAGGAGCCGTCGAGGATTTGAAACAAGCTGCTCAAAGATCTCAGGTACACTTTTTTTTGGTATCAGGGTCATTACTTTACTTGATGATTGGACCTGACAGAAGTGACTCTGCAGGACATGAACATACGCGAAGCGCTGGGTAGAGCCGAGAAAGCATTGAAGATGAGCAAACGAAAGGACTGGTACAAGATTCTTGGAGTTTCCAAGACGGCGTCTGTTTCCGAAATCAAACGAGCCTATAAGAAGCTTGCTCTGCAATGGCATCCAGACAAGAACGTCGACAACAGGGAAGAAGCGGAGAACAAGTTCCGAGAAATCGCAGCAGCATACGAGGTTCGATGATAAGAACGTGTCCATTCTGTCTGCACTGGGAAAGTGTCTGAAATCTGACTGATGAATCCCCATATGATTGATTTGGCAGGTTCTTGGAGACGAAAACAAGCGTGTAAGATATGACAGAGGAGAAGACCTTGAGGAGATGGGTATGGGCGGCGGCGGGGGAGGATTCAACCCTTTTGGCGGTGGGCAACAGTACACCTTCCATTACGAGGGCGGCTTTCCCTCCGGCGGTTTTGGCGACCGTTTTCCGGGTGGTTTTGGTTTCGATTTCTGATTTTTTTTTTTTTCAGTCACTGCTAATCATGTAACTTTGACGTTTTCACTTCAGGTATATGTATTCATTCACCAAAGTTTTGCTCATTTGTCTTTTTGTTTTCATGACATCTGAACTCAGATGTCCCTTCCCCAGTTCCATCCAGTTTTAGTCCTTCCTCAGTCTCTCGACTCCACTGGTTTTAAATTAGATTTCATCTTTGATGAGATTGTAACTCTTGTGCAGAATCCAATCCTTACAGGCCCTATTGTTTTATTGGGCCTTACAAGCTCGGCCCATTTAGTGATTTAAGGCCCATTACAACTATTCTCGCTCATTTTATTTTATTGTCTGTGCATTTTCTTATAACCTTTAATAAAAATCCATATTCAATTTTAGACAATCCCGAAAGGATTATCAGATTTGAAATTTTCCATCCTCGTACACCTCCAAAACCCTAGCTCCCAAATCCTGTCTGATTTTTGTGCTTTGACGAGGGAGTTTGACCGAACCTCCTCGGCCTCCTTCGTCGAGAACATAGGCAGAGTCTCTTGGCTCTATCTCGACCGAAGCGACCACCACCGACCGGACCGGTTGCTGTGATTCCTGCGACTACCGACCTGCATTGGCACAAGAAGGACAACGGCAGACTCCGACCTGAAAGACAAGTTTCTCAAGCTCTAAAGCTTGGAAGGAGCTCTTCTATGGGTCCGCTTGCAGGAATCGAAGCAGAAATCTGTTCGTTTTTCGATGATCAGGATCCGCAGCGAACTTCATCGGACGGCTGCAAACCGGTTCCATGGTTGAGCTGGGACGAGTGGGACTCCGTTAGGGAGTCGCTGTTTTCGTCTTCTTCTGATAAAGTTGCTTCTGCTTTAGAAAGGGTAAGCCTTTGTACTGTATCATTCCCTTGTTTACTATTGGACGCAGAACAAAATCTCCCCGGAAAATACATGGTTTCTGCGAGAACTTGAACACGCTTTTGGGTTTACGATCGGTTTCTCTTTTCCGTTGAGGAAAAGCATTTTCCTGGAAAGTCGATGGATGTCTGTGAGTTTAACGAACCTTTTGCTTAGTTACAAAATTCAACGGAAACTGGTTCCCGGGATCAAAAGCTTTACAAAAGTTAATGAGTTCAGTTTAGAGAAGGCAAGAATCAATACTCCACAATAATCCCCTTGAGTTCTTTAAGTTGATTGACTTAACTTGTGTAATTAGTGGAAGGAAAGTGGGGAAGCAGTTTTTTCATGGATATCCTTAGCCGGTGTTTCTTTTATGTTCATTTGTTCTGTGGTTTGGTTCACGAGGAAGAAGAGTATGTCAATTTGGCATTGAAATTATCCCCTCTGTGCAGTGAATAAACGGGTTGGGAGCATGATAAGATGATGAGGGTGTTCATTTTATTGGTAAAGATAAAATGTTATTCCGTTTCCAATCAATGTGTTATTTTTGGATTTCAGGTTATGACATGGCGAAGTAGAGGGTCTCTTCCAGCGCCTGTTGATGTCACAGCATCTATCATTGAAATTCGCCAGAAAGATGGCTTTATCACGTAAGCTTCTTGGATCCATGATCTTTGGGTTTCTTCAACTCTCTCCAAATTTTTTTTTTTGGTTATTGGTTTCTCTTGTTTGGTGATAAAAAGTAGGGAAAAACAACCAGCAGATGCTTTATATTCAGAACATTTACTGCAAATGTTATACTGCATGGGAATATTAAGGTGATCATATGTTTTCCCTTCCTCTTTTATACCAGTTTTATCCTTTGGTTTGCTGAATTTGTCAGCAGTTTTATAGTTTAAACTCCTGCACTCATCTGACTTAAATGTCCTTATGTCCTGAAGGCTTGTGAACTGTGTTATAGAGAAGACCAGGAGGAGAACAGAAGTTTCAATTGCTGAGGCAGCTAAGGCGATTGATATCCCTCGTAAATTAATCGACCTTCGTCATGGTAAGGAAGTTCAACTAATTGAAGCAGCTCAGATGTTTTCCCTTGATTTTGCATGGCCATTTTAAATTCGTTTCATTTCTGAGCGAGTTTACTCTTTTGATTTTAGAGGGTTCTCATCGTGAGCTTCCTGCCCTTTCTGTACTCCGAGATGCTTCAGATGAGGTATGACCTTTCTGTTTTCAACTCGATTCTACATTTTAGAAATTATTATCTCCTTTGTCTCGATTATTATCAGACATGACAGTTTGAACGGCTTGCACGTTAAAAAGATGCAACAATGCCAGATTTTTTGAGTCGATATTAGATTGCCCTCGTCAAGGTACATAGTCTTGTTGTTTTCTCATGATGATAAATATCATGACTACTGCTTGTATGCAATTTTGTTGGTCATTATAGGCACTTGAATGGTTGAAATCTTATTATTGGGAGCCACAAAAGAACCAAATTCCCTTCAAGAAAGATGGCACTGCTAACATCAGAAGAGAAATCAAATCTAAACTACGCAAACTCTCTTTGTGTGTGCAACTCAGGCAAAATCCTCAAGTTGACTCTGCTTTGATCAAAGAAAAGTGTATGTAAGAGAAAATGTCTCTTCTCTTTTGTACATATGAACTACACTGCAAACTTCAGGTCTCCTGTTGGGTACTACTGGTGCCAGGCAAAAAGAAGATAGTAACCCAACCTATCCATGTCTCCATTGTTCACCACCATACATTTTTTCATGAAAAAAGATAGGAGATACTTGGGTTTTCTTCACTGTTAAAGTTTTTCCTTTTAGAAATTGGTAAAGGTTGAATTGCTTAGTTTCCTTAATCGCCTCTTGCTGCTTCCCTTGCATTCACCTAGTTTCTTATGCTAATCTTTTGGACGCTTCATAACTTCCAGGTTCTAAGAAAAACATAAGGAAGATCCTGACTGGCCTTGTCGAGTTATACTCTTCTTTCTCCTCGGAAATGGTATCTGTGCTGCTTGAATTCTTGCTCAAGGCCTTGGATTCTTCAAAGTCAGCCGAAATTCTAAACCAGTCTGAGCCTGGCCAAGATTTCAGCAGTTATCTGGATGAATGGAAGCCTGTAATTATGGAATTCTCGAATAGAGAACCAGAGTTACTTTTGAATATACTTCAGGCAATCCTCGATATGATCCAAAATGGTGAAAGGAAAAGTTACGAAACCGGTAAGTTATTCATGTATGATCTTAACTCTGACTTCATTTTAACCCCTGGGGCTGGGCATGTGTCTTATGCCTTCCCTGTCTGCTGTTGTAGAACGGGAACTTACATCAAAGTCGATGGAAGATGTGTCCAAATTTGAAAAGCTCCCATTCTTATGTGCATGGCTTGTGGATCATCTCAAGGGGTTGAAGCACTTTCAGAAAAGCAGACCGAACCTTTTCCTAATGGAACTCGTAAGAAAATGCCTTCTCCTGTCAGCATGTGGCCATGACCAGCTAGCTAAATCTGCCTTACAACTAGCAGAGCTTGCGGGAGGTCGTGCTTGGAAGGAGAAGCTCACGAAACTTGCGCACGTTCATAAACCCAGGATAATAGAAGTTCCTCTTGAACGGTGTTCTTCTCTCGTGACAACTCATGAGAATACCCTCTTTCAACAAGAGAGATCAATCCATGGTGCGGCCAAGAAACTGGAGTTTGTCAAGATTCAATTTTCGAAGAAGAAATCTGAAACCGATGCCAGAGTTCAAAGGACATGGGTGAAGCCCAAGTCGTGGAATCCTTGTCCGATCGGTACGTTACCTCGTGTCGTTGGATCCTCCGGTTGTTTACCTCTTCTCTGCTGCAGCAAAGCAATGCCGGTACAAAGTGGCAGCAACAAAAGAGAAGCCGGTATTCAGCTGTTAGATGATTCAACGACTAAGCGAGCGAGGAAGAGGATGGAAGATCATGAATCAAGTGGTCGGAGGTTGGATTTGTACAATGAAGCAGATGATGAAAGTGAATCAGAAGGGGATGCAATGTTTAAGGATAAAGATAATAATGTACTGATAGAAGAAGGCGGGAGCTGTCTTATGGTCGGTGGCGAATGGAAGATGGTGGACACCAAACAGTTATTGGAAATTGCATCTGCTGTAAAAATTTTGGTATAAGTTGTCTCATTTTTTATTTGGACAATCATACCCCTCATATCCGAGTGTATTTACAATTTTACCAATTTGAACGTTGGTGGTACAGGACCCGCCACTTCACGTGATGCCTCTCAATCATTAATCAATAATAATTTATAAATAAAATGGTGGGACCCACACGTGGCAATTACAAAAACTAAGCATTATAACTTTTGGTTCCTAATTTCAGATATTAAAATAAAGTATAAGATCTACTAATTGGTGATTATGGAGGATGGTGTAAGATTACTTGGTCGAATATTAATTATATTACAAAATTACTTTCCTATCTGACACGTGGCAATATCTCGAGGCAATGGAATCGAATCTTCCTTTCCTTTCGAAACACGCCGAACTATTTAGCCTCACTTCACACTCTCCATCACTCAACTCTTCCCTTTCAGATCCTCACAAAGAGAGAGAGAGTGAGTGAGTGGAAGATAAAACAACCCTAACCCAAGTTCTCCAATCTAGATTTCTGCCCCAGAAGAATCGCAGAATCGTGTCTTGATTTCGATTCACAAGCATGTAATTTAGGTCGTTCTGCAGTGTCGGTATGGGGTCGGATCAGATCGAGGTGAAATCGATTAGGGTTCCGAGAAGGGTGTGGTTAGGGTTCCAGAAATCAATGGGTCTCCTCGTGGGTGGGAATCACACCTCCTCCAGGTTTTGTGCCCGCTAAAACTCTCGATTTCTTCTCGTTTTCTGGCTTTTTTCCTCTGATCTGTTCTAGCAAGACAATCTCCTGAAAGAATTGGGGGTTTGTCCCCTTTTGTTGAATTTCTCGACTTCATCGGAATTGGAAGCTGAAATCCATGGGTGTTAAGATTCTGAGGCACAGAATCGGCCAGGGATCTACGGGGAGGCATGCGATGTTTCGCGCTCTGGTTATTGCCTCAGCTCTGTCTGTTGTCCCTTTGATGGAAGTAATGTACGGAACCGAACTAGCATCGGAAAATGGTGACGCCCACAATGATTCGGCGTTGAATCTGGCCGTTTTCGGGCAAGCTCTCTTCTCGGGGCCAAAACTGTTCGTAGATAAGTTTGTCGAACCATTCTGGGGCAAATTTGAGACGGAGAAGCTGTCGGAAACTGTAACCGGTGGCATTATCGCTGAGTTAATGGGTCTGAAACTGTTGCATTATGATGCCAAAGTTCTCTACATTGGTCGGGCACCGGATTTGGCTGTTTCAGCGTTCAAAGGGTTTGGTTTCTCCGACACTCACGGGGTTCTTGGCCACCCCTTGTTTCCCTTCATGCGCAAGAATCATGTTCATGAGCTTGATTTTACCGAAAGCTCTTTTGATCTCGTGATCAGTGGAGATCTGGACCTTGTTATTTCCCCTGTTCTTCTCGTGCTCGAAATGGAGCGTGTGCTGAAGCCTGGTGGAATTGGAGCAGTTATCGTGAGTTCTAAGGGCAGTTCATATATGAACGGTCTCGTCAAATCTGCCATCTCGATTTCATCATGGCTTAAGCAGTCCGCGATCGTGCATGTGAACTACTTGGATGAGTTCACATTGGTTGTTTTCAAGAAGAACGTGACAGATAATTCTTCTTACTTTGGAGAGATTCAGCTACCAAGTGATTGCGGATCTGTTGTGAACAATAAACCCTACATCAGGTTTTTGGAACCTCTAATTGAGAGAAAGCCTATCGATTTTCCAAAATCGATCACTTACTTGCCCAAGCTCATCGATATCTCCCTGAAGAAGAGGCTGGTCTACATTGACATTGGAGCAGGCGAGCATCTGAACGCTAGTTTGTATTCGAGCTGGTTCTTACCATCATACCCAGTTGACAGCAAGGCTTTCAACATCTACTTTGTTGATCACAATACTTCAGTGATGCTGTCTTACGTCAAGAAGCCCGGTGTCACCTTTGTCTATCATCCGGGTCTAGCTGGGGACAAGGCTACATCTAAGAACGTCAATGCCCACGAAGATTTAGAACCATTTCCAGAAGACGAGGGTTTTGATTTTCTCGCTTGGTTCGAGGAAACCGTGAAGTATGCTGATTTCGTGGTTCTGAAAATGAACACGAGCGAGGTGGAGATGAAGTTCCTGTCGGGTCTACTCGAAAGTGGAGCCATATGCTTCATAGATGAGCTTTTCCTTCGATGCCCGACTGATTCAGACTGCTTGAGCATACCTAGAGCTCTGAGAAGCAGAGGTGTGTTCGTCCACCAGTGGTGGGGAGAGTGAGACGACTCTGTTTGTAACTCAGTCGTATTTAAGTGTCGTGTTTTCTGTTGTGTTGTTTGGTATTTGATCTCTTGTCATGTCAGTGGTTGTGAGGGATTGTCCCTCCCTGTTTACTGATGTTTCTCCCCTTGGCCGCAGCAGCTACCGGCTAAGCTACTTTAACTAAATAAGCAGCTGCCTGTTTGTGTTTGTTCAAGTGGATTCCATTGTTTGATTTCGCTCACTGTTCCTGGGCGGTTCCTTACAACAGATGTCATCTTTATGAACTCTATTCCCCAACCAAAGCCCTTTGGTGGTTTCTGTCTCGAATGCTTCCAAGAATTAGTAAAAACACAGGGACAGTGATTCGACTTGAGCATGAGTACAAAGGGCTGGAAAGAACTTAAAAGATGTATGATTCAAGGACCGGGAATTTAACTATACTATCAATTTCACATATACACATACATTCATGTAGTACACATACACAGCCGGCTTGTAAATGTTTCACACAGAAGGTCCTTTCTATTTTCATAGAAAAGCTTCTCTTCCATTCAATGAGAAGAGCTTGGAAGCTCTTCTCCTTCATCTCCTCCTCCATTGCTGTTATTGTTATTGTTGTTGTTGTTCACCTTTATCTCCAAGAGTCTTTCCACGGGTTGCCTACAGATGGGACACCGATTTGTCTGGAACCTCAGTACTTTTGCGCATCCACTGCACATACACTGCACCCGAAAACAGAATCATTCATCTCCTCACATGACATTGGGAGAAAACGTTAATGATAATGTGAGACTTTACCATGTGCCTGCAGGGAAGAACGGTCGTGTCCCGTGGTTCAGACAAACATATAACGCATTCTTTTCCCGGGTCATTACCGTCTGCAGCATCCTCGTCACCACCATCAACCGAGTTCCCTATCCCATATATTTCCTGCAACTCATACCTCATCCCATTCACCCATAGTATCTGATTCACTACCCTTATATTGATCTCCCCTTTCTCCTTCTTGTACACCGCCCGTGTTATCTGGGCATTCGTGGATCCCGACCCTCCTTCTGATTCATTATCAACCGATGGATTCGCCTCTGCCTTGACTGCTAATGGATAGATGTCTGTGTCAGCCGCTTTTAGCAGCTCAGAATCCTCAAACGCCGATAAATCTATCCCCGTACCAGAGGGTTGAATGAACTTCTGACAAAGTCCTTTGTCGAAATTCACAGTCACTGGTGGCAGAATATCTTCCTTTGTCGCGGTGAGATTGCATTTTTCGCCTTCTTTGGCAAAGAAAACGACTGTGATCCTGTTCTCAAGAACCAAATAAACAAAAGCCAGTCACTTACACACACATTTAAGAATCTCTTATGGTTCCTGCAACGTGACCAGGTGCTGATCTTGACAAAGTCCAATACAAATTTGGACTAAAAATTCAAACTTTTCATTGCGTTGCTGAGGAAAACAGTCATAAATACTATCTTTAAAAAATTCATCAAGAAGTCAACCAGATGCCACATATTTCACTATGATCGTTCACGCATCAGAGAAGAACGTGTTTCACATATTTCACTATGACCTTTAGCAAATCACGAAACCGAAGGCAGAGAAAATATGAGAATTAACCTTCCGGAGACGGTCGCATCAAACGTGAAGGAGACGAGAAACCGACCCGGATTCTCCGAGTCAGGCTCCAACCTCAGAGTCTCCTTCTTCAGATTGACGTCGTTACGAATCGTCACAGCTTTCTGGTGCTCGACGTACGGAAGCGGCGGTGGCATCATCGGTCCGCAGTGATACCTCCCGCCGGCGGCCCAAGGGTGGAACGGCTGCTGCGGATAGTGGTGGAGGTGGTGGTGGTCGTTATACGGCGCCGGGAGAGGCACCGGCATCGTCGCCGGAGGAGGAGGATAGTAACCTGGATACTGGTAGTACTGGTTAGGGTTAGGGTTCGGGTACGGTGTCGCGGCGGCGAAAACGTAACGGTTGGGAGGGATCTCTGTCGCCGGAGGTTGTGGAGGCGGAGGCGGAGGTGGAGGTGGCGTGTGATTCCGACGCCTCCCGTGGCGGGTTCTCCCGCTGCCTCCGCCGCTTCCGCTGCTGCTTCCGATATTCCCCATGGGGATTTCAGACGAAACCCGGATCAAAATGACCGATTTTTTCGCGACCCAGTGGGTTGATGTCGAAATCGGCGGAAATTGAGTGGGATTACAGTAACGTGAGAATCAAAAGCTAAAGATTTTGGATTGAAAAAGAAGAAAGAAAAGGGGAAAGACAGAAGAGATAAGAGGGAATGATGTGAGAGAGGAAGGGACGACGACGATGGGGTCAGGTGGCGAAGAACACCGTCGATTGTGGAGTTAATGGGGAATTCAGCAATAGATTTGTTTTATTGTCATTAATGTCATGATTAGGAAAATATAATATTAATTATTTATATTTTACATACAGATTCACTTATTGTTATTATAAATTACAAAATTTACTATCAATTGTCTATTTATGTACATAAATTTTCCAACTATATTTAATTATTAGTGAGCCATCCTTTTCTTCTGTATTTATTTATGTTAACCTTTTGTTCTTTCTATTTTTGCTGTCTCCATTAGCTTTCATATTCCCAGGTTTTGTACTAATTATGTTTGGTACATGAAATTGAACAAATTTAAACTATATAAAAATAAAATGGAAGTATCAAAGGAAAAAAAGAATATTTTATAAAATAATTTATCAGGTGATTTGGGTCAAAATATTCCAAAAGCTGTCTCCAAAATTCATATATATAAATTAAATCAATATTTTCATTTTTCCTAATCCCAAAAGACGAGCACTTTTCTTCCCCAAGTGGGAAAAAGAAACCAATATTATATACGCGTGTGTTTATGTTAAAATCATATAATAAGACAGACTAAAATTAATAAAAAATACTAATTTAAATCTTATTAAATGAAGCACTTGGTACGAGTTAGGTTACAAAGCGTGTACGAATATGATGACATAAGTGGATCGCATATTCAACTGTGCAATCCTCTTTGACTTTAATAACATACACACACACACACGTATACACATTTATATAAATCACATAATCTATATATATATAATATCAAATTCGTACGTAGCTCATTTGACTTCACGGGGCTGAAGAAATAAAAAAATATGAATGCGTTTGTGTGATGGTATAGTAGAGTAATAAAAATATTGTAGGATATTTAAGTTAAAAAAATTTATGAAAAAATCATGATATATATATATATATATAATAATAATTTAAATAAATGCAAACTCCTTATCCAAAATCAACATAAAAAAGAAGAGCAAAAGAATCATGCTTTTAATCGTAATTCTAATTAATTAATTAAACATAAACGCGTCGATGGCGGTTGTTTTGTAATAATTACAAGTTGATCGGTATTCTTCCATTGTTCAAAATAAAGAAGTATGATCTTTAAATACAAAAAAAAAAATTAGTAATTAAGAGGTTTAGATTAACAAACTAAACCGGTCGAACAAATCGAAGAAATTCAAACCGAAAGATGTATTTAAACCGGGCATATATGTATATATGCACATACATATGGTCGGAGAAATAGTTCCGGAGTTGAAATTCATACCTTTGAATTTTGAGGATCCATGGAGGACGGTTGATTTGTCTTGTAATCAAAGATTCAGATAACCAACAGAAAATCTGTGTATGTATATACACACACATACAATCATCATATATATATATATATATATATTGTTTGTGGACACATGCATGTACGTATATATAATATGTGCATGCATGCATGACTCCTCGCACGCCATTCACAGAGACCATCCACTAGTATGATGAGCTTTTGCAAGTGGCATACAGGGAGCCAGGCATATATATATACACACCAGAACGTAATGATCATATACATACATATATATATATATATGTGTGTGTGTGTGTAGAGAAATTGAGTGGCTTTCAATGGTGATGAAGCACATACCTGATTTCACAATATTCTTCTAACAAAAGAAAATTATATCTTGGAATTGAAAAGAGAGCTTGGAGCATTGCAACTTCAAAAAAGTGCAGACTCACTCTCCTATTATTCTCCACGACTATCTATCTATATATATACTGTATGTTCATATATATATATATATGGTGTATGGATATATGTATACACATAAATATGTATAGACTATAAGGGTGAAAAAGAATTCCGGTTCCATGCCTTAAATCTACATGATTGTGTATGGGTTTTATTCATTTTCTCGTACTCCCCATAATACAAAAAAAGATAAATTATGGTGCTGATAGAGTTAATAAAATTCATGTTATATGTTAATAGATGATGATGATGATGATGATGATGTTGCATTGATCATATGCTTTTACAGATTTCTAAATAAGAAAGCAAAAGGTCTGCTGCTGCTTCTGAGACTGATTTGTCTCGGAGTGTTTGGTTGACTTGACCCCATGGATTCCATTCCATGGTTTTTTCCTTTTTCTTTTTCTATTTTTTTTAAAAAAATACATTTATAAAATTTGTTTTAAGTTATATTTTATGCATACATATGAAATCTTCCCCATATCTATGCCCCATATCTTTTGCTTCTGCCTAGTTTCATAACGTGGTCCAACATTCTCTTCCATAACCCAATTTTTTTTTAAAAAAAATAATTCAAATTTTGAAACACGCAGATCATAAGCAAAGAACAACCAAAACACACAAAAAAAAAGCATCCAACACTATGAATCTAATTGCTGATATACACACTTTCGAACTGTATTTTGCATAACAAAGGATGACATATAAATTCGTGCAAATAGAAATGTGACAAATAATACACACACACAAACATATATATATATATATATATATATATATATATGTTTGTGTGTGTGTGCATATATATACATATATGGGTGAAGGACATGATGAAGAAAGAGATTGAGGATTGGCTGTAGAAAATATTATGTGAAATACAAAAAGCTGCAAAACTATATTACACGGAAGCATTGTCATTTGTCTCAGAAATGCCAAAGAGATTCCACAACTCAATGAACTGAACTGAACTCAACTCAACTCTCCTGGTTGGTTCCAAACAATCTTCAACTAGTTTGGATCTCTCTTTGAGTTTATATATATATATATATATATATATATATATGGAGGAATAATTTGGATTTCTAGTTGGAGAAAATAACGTTTTAGATTTTTTTTATATAAAAAATGAATATATGATATTATTGCAAATTACAGATTTTCCACGGTGGTTAGCCCTAAATTAGAAGCATTTGGCAGTTCAACAAACCCATTATTTTATGAATAAAATCACAAGGAATATCATTAACTAGAAGGCAGAAAAAAATGCGCCTTACTTCTAATTTGTGTATGGAGCAGACGGAAATTCGGGTAAAAGCCCAGAGCAGTTGAAAACGTGAGTGAGAATTGAAAATGGGCTTCAAAGGCCCAATATATACTGAGCCTTTTATAGGCCCAAACATATGATCCTTCTTCAATCAATATGAGCCGTCCTTAGAGGCCCGTACAATTTTTTATATTATAAAAATATTAAATATTTTTTTTTAATTATGAACAATCCATGGAAAAAACCCAACACACAAAAAATCTTGGAATAAAACTACCTTTTATTAAAAAAATAAATACATGAAACTGGATCAGGCTAATAACGATAACGTGAACAAAGTGAAGAGTAAAGAAAACAAAGAAGTGCCGGTTTCAACATCGTCTTCTTCGGAAATGGTTTCCAGAGATGGAAAACAGAATCATTCATCTCCTCACATGACATTGGGAGAAAACGTTAATGATAATGTGAGACTTTACCATGTGCCTGCAGGGAAGAACGGTCGTGTCCCGTGAAGTGGGGGAAAAAAGAGTTAATTGATTCGACCCTTTTTTTTTTTTTGTTGCCGATGATTTTTGTGCTTTGATGAAGCATATTACGAGAATGCAGTGTGTGCGTGTGTATATATACGGGGAATTGAAAAAAATATAAAAATGAATAATTGAAAAAAGAGGAAATGAGTGGAGGCATATGGAACACGTGGCCTACTCATTTAGCTAATCGGCTTTTGACACGTTTGTTGCTTATATCGTTGACACGTGTACACCTGACGTCGTTTCATAAGCAAACACACACATATTTATATTATATTATATTATATGTGTGTGTATACAATTGATGTGTCTAAGTGGTTACTTGGACGTGTGTGTATACATACACACACGTGTTTCGTGTGAGTGGAAATGTATAGAAAGTGTCGGTGGAGAAATCGGACACGTGGACGGCATTTATTAGGCTAAGTTAGGGTTTTTACAATAATGGAACCCCAAGAACATTCGAGAAAACTCTGTCCCCACATTATTTTCGTTAGTTCCAAATCATGCAACACGTGTATGTATAGATCGAGTTCATGCATGATGTATGTACGTACATGTGTTATATTAACATGCGCCAGCCAACGCACAGAGAAGAAAACTACCTGGTGTCTGAGTATTGACACGTGGCATCCTCTTGTTGTCCCTCGGGCCTCGGGGATAGGTTTTGAGACCCATATAAAGTTATTTGGGCCTTTGGAAATGATAATAATGGCCCAAATAAAGTATATGATACCTATTGCCGTTGAAATAAGGAAACAAATATATATTTAAAAAGATTGAAATTGATTGGAAATGATTATGAGGATGATTGAGAGAAATTAAAGATATAAAATCAATCTCTAAATTTATTTGTTTTCATCATATATTATTTTTTTATAAATTTTTGTGTCGATGTTATGTAACTGTTTTATAATCTGTACATAAACATAAAATTTTATATTATATTTTTTCATATCGTTCAGTAAATTTGTTTTTTTAATAAAATCTCTTAATATCCAGTTTTCATATCCTTCAATACTTGACGAAAGATCTAATATTGTATTATAGTGATGACATATCATAGAACCGTGATCTAATACGTAAAAACAAGTTAAAATACACACGCATATATACATATATGAGATAAATTATTGAAATATTTCATTAACTTTCTTATCAGAATGATTAAATTATTCAATTTCAATATTTTAACAAAAAAAAAAATCGATTGAAAAATTTGTTGAGAAATGATTGGAATAAAACATGTTTTAAATAAAATTAAAGAAATAAAATATGAAAAAATAATCTAAAAAATATTGCACTAAAATAATTTTAACAAAAAAAGGAGGCAAACATCTAACAAAAATAGTTTCAAACCGAGTTATATATATACTATTCAACCTTGGCGATAATATCATTTTTTTATAATGTGATAATATCATATTATTATTTATCATTCATTCAATAACACTCCATGAAAATGTTCAAATAGCCATGACGCATGCAAAGTTAAATCATTTTATTATACCCTCTATTAGGTAACCCATCAATTCAATAATTCTCCCGATAAAATTATTACCCGAGTACCCGAAAATGATTGGATACGATAAGGATTGTCGAAATATTGTTTTCTATATTCTCATTGTTATTTTTTTTTAATATAGATTAATATGATCTCCTCGTTTTAAGAGTTCAATTTTGTATACAAATTACCACCCACCAATTATATATATATATATATATATATATATATATATATATATTATATATATATATATATTTGTGTGAGAGAGTGTATATTGGTAGAAGACAGTGCCCATGAACGGTGGGTAAATGAGGAGAAAATCAAGAAAATATTTGATGAATCTCGAGGCAACCGTAGCGCTTGGAATAGTTTTGTTCCTTTTTTTTTTCTTAATAACTGAATCACTTAAATCTATGCCTTAATTCGAATTAAATAAAAGTATATCTAAACAATGTTTCATAACAAATTTTTCAATGATTTTCTCACTTCCTCGGAACAAGAGTTCGATAACTACTAGGCTACTGTAAGAAACAAATATAAGACAGTTAAATGAAAGCCAAAAAATACAAAGAGAAACTAATTTGAAGATCATTCAAGTGTTTAGTTAGAATAATTTGCACATTTTGTTTTTTTTTAAGTTTGACAAGCACCCATTATATTCTCTATATATAAAAAAAAGAACTCTATATTATGCGGACAAAGTCATGCACATAATAATTTCTGTTGAAAATAGCATTTTTTTTCTCTGCCATATATCAGATTGCCTTTTACATGTTTTGTCTTTTAGTTCGATATATATAGATGCATGCATCTTGTGTTGTAAGTAAGTGTCATGAGCTAGGGGCCATGCCCATATGCTTACATACAACGTGTACATAGAGAGAGAGGAACCCATTGCATTTCCCCCTTACTTATCGATAAAAATCTCTGGGAAATGGAATTATCCAATCCATTTATAATATCCTTTTAATTTTGCAGATTTATTTTATTTAAACCGATATATATATATATATATATATATATATATATATTGTTAAACAGGAAATTGTAAACTTTTTAAAGGAAATTGATCGTGTGTATATATGATTGATATATATATATATATATATATAACAACGTGTCTACCCTTGTAAATATCTTCTACTATTTTGTCCATGATGTTAATTGAGTTGGAAATTTTGGGGCTGTGTGACGTGTCAAGATATAGACGTTTGATAGATTAAAAAAACGCGACAAGGCCCAATGGGCCCGCCCATGTTGACTACTATTTCAGATCTATCATTGGCCCACGTGTCGAGTGGCTAATGCTCCTCCATATAATTGTTGGGTAAATATCAATTATTATACGTAACTCCAGTTTCGGATAATGTGAACAAAAAATAAAATAAAAATCCGGCATGCAACGATGCCTTTGTAAATGCATTTGGATCCCCTGTACATGTTTGTTCAATTATTTGCAAATAAACTATAAATGTCGTTATAACCACAACATACGATACAATCATTTATTTTAAATTCGAAAAAAGACAAAAACAAGAAAAATGCGATAAATATATATAATCAAAGAGGTAGAGAGAACACGATAAGAGCGTGAGAACCGCCGCATCCGATATTTTCTTTCTTCTGCCTCTTTCTTTGTCGTTTAGCCGCAATCGCAACCCACAGAACCAATGAGCTTTTATCTATTACACATCTATAAATGTAATCACAAGATCTCTGTCCAAATAGCTTCTAATTTCACAAATCCATACGAGTAACAACGCAACCCATAAGTTATATCTCTGGCAAAAAAATTTTGAAGAGTTTTACAGTGGAAGACGATTCATTCTCTCTCTTGCTGGTCATCAATGGCGTCAAGGAAGCTTTTTTATGGCAGGCCGGGTTATATTTATCCATACCCAGAAACAGAAACTTCCCAAAACGACCAGGATCTCTTCGAATTCGACGAATCCGATATCTATGACCAAGATGAACGCCTGCCCACTTCGTTCGACGCCAAAAACTCGATACCCATTTCCCGATTGTCGCGAAAACCGGCGAAAACCTCCGATTCCGCCGCTTCTCACCGGAAAACCAAACCCGCCGCCGGTTCGCTCCCGGTTAACGTCCCTGACTGGTCAAAGATTCTGAAGAGCGAATACAAATGCCGATGCAAGAGAGACAGCGACGACGACGACGACGGCGGCGGATGGGAGAGAACTCCGCCGCACGAGTATTTGGCGCGGCGGAGGGGATGGTCGTTCTCGGTTCACGAAGGAAATGGTCGGACGCTGAAGGGAAGAGATCTATGGAGGTTGAGGAACGCCATCTGGGAGAAGACTGGGTTTCAGGACTAACCTTATTCACTTAACTATGATTATGGTTATGATTAATAGTTAATTAAGACATAATCACGGGTACGGTATATTATTTAGTATAATATGATTTAATTTTTGGAGTGAGGCTAATCACGGATTTTGTGGAGCTAAGATTTTTGCGGATTAGAATTGGGGTTTGCTTTTTTTGTGATCTTTGTTATTTCTCTTTTATTGTTTTTTTTTAATATATGATTTCATAGAAAGTATTAATTCTCATTTCTTTTTCTTTATTACTAAACAGTTACATACTTTATCTTGGAACGAAACAGCCGAAATGGAAATGATGCATACAGAATGTGACATATATATATGTGGTAGTGGAAACCATAACATTGCAATAATTTGTTTGATAATTTTGATTCGTACGGGGAGATTTATTGGGCCGATAAATAACAAAGCCCATTAACGGTGAAGAGCGAGTGTCCACATTAATTAGCCCATTATAGTCTATGAAAAGCCCACGACCATTAAAGCCCCCTCTAAGCTGTTAAAGATTCAATATATATATATATATATA